ATTTTATGCTTCCATCAGAAAGAATGACACTGCCCCATTTGTAAGGAAAAGGAAAGAGTCTGTATTTCTTAAAGAGCCAATCCAGTGGTAATGAACTTCCTCAGCTTTTTTTTTAACTTCAAAGTATCTTAATTTCTCTTTCATTTTTAAAGGACAATTTTTCCAGATGTGAGATTTTTTGGTTGGCAATTTTTTGTCTGTTTTAGCACATTAAATATATCAAACTATTACATTTGAACCCTCCAAAATTTCCAATGAGACATCTTACTGATGATCATTGGTATATATGATAAATCACATCTTTCTTGCTGCTTTCAAGATTAACTCTTTGGCTTTCTGCAGTTTGATTAGAATGTTTCTTCATATGAATATTTGAGTTTACCCTACTTACCTTTTCTTGGGTTTCTTAGATGTTAATATTGATATGTTTCATTGACTTTGGGGATTTTCAGCTATTACTTCTTTAGACTTTCTCCCCTCTTTTGGGAACTACCTTCATGTGTAAATGGGTCTGTTTAATGATGTTTATCTATCTTTCATTCCTCAGACTATAAATTGTTCTATTTTCAAGTTTGAATTATTTTTCCTGACTGCCCAAATTTGGTTTGGATTCTCTTTAACAAATTTCAATTATTTTTATTACTCCTAGCTTCAGAATATCTTGTCTTTGTTTCTACTATAGAGTTTTTTCTCTCTTTTCAAAGGTTTTAAAATAATCTGTGATTACTTTCTTTGTATGCCTTAGTATTATTTGGTGAAAACCAGGTATTTGAATATAATAATGTAATTACTCTGTAAATAGTATTCTCTCTTTTTCTGCTGTTTGCTATGTTTTAGTTTAGGTTTTGTTGTTGTATTGTTTTGAGCATACTGAGTTTTCAGGTTACCATATTTTAACTTATCAATGACCTCAGTGTGATCATGCTGGCAATTTGGATATTCCAAAATAAGCCATAAAATTTTAAAAAATCACTATAAATGAGAAGATAAAAGTTCTCAGTTTAATAAGGAAAGAAAAGTATGTATTCTAAAGTTGGTAAAATCAATAGTACAATAAGTTATTTTGAGACACACCATTTTCAAATTATTTTCAGTATGCTACTTTTATTCTGTTGTTAATTCTACTGTGCTTAATTCATAAATTGAACTTGTCTTAGTTATGTACGTATAAAAAAGCAATTGGGTGAATGCTATCTGTGCCAATACTCATTTGGTCTTTTAGCAAATTCCCCACATAGAAGAGAACAGGGATTACATTATTATAAAACTTTTAAACAAGACTGTTATGTGAAACTTCTATAAAGTTATTGGCTCAGAGGCGAATGAGTAAGGAATGGAGGGAAAAAAGTATCATCACAAAATGTCTTTTAAAATAGAGGTACAGAGATAGACTTGGTGGTGAGAGAATGAATAAGTGTACTGATTTACTCTGTCATTTCTAGTTTATTTCACAATTCTTGTGAAAAGCATAATCAGCAAATCTAAGAGACAAAATGTATATGATATTGTAACAAATTATGTAGGAGATAAAGTATTTCAAATCCAGCTGTTTTCTATTAAATGATACTTACACAAGCACTGCCTTTCACTCTCCCTTCTCTTTTAGAAATATGTAATTATTTTTTACAAGTATTTGAACAGGTAGTAAGTAGATTTATCATCACTATTGTCAGTAAATACAAATGACCTTTGGCTTAGTTGTTCAGTTTACAATTTCTTTTTTTTCTTTTTTTTTTAAAACCATAATGTGAACACAGTATATATTTAGCATAAACCATTCTTGGAATTGTGAGTTTTGACCTTTTCCTGGCCTAGTGATATGTGGGTAGGTTCCTTGCAACACAGAACTGGAGCACCTCCCAGTTGGTACATAATTGCCAGGATAAATATCCAACCCTCCACAGTGTGCTGTATTGCATGACTGTGGTATTCTATATGTTAGCTATATTAATATTTCAAAATCTAGTATTTTCTTTTTACAGTGGATTTAACTTGAGGATCATCTGTAGTTTAGGCTTTTTAGGGCAGCAGTAAAAGAAAATACTCCATCATATAGTGACAATTTTGTACATTTGTCCAAACCCACAAAATGGACTATGGGGTTAGATTAGGACTATATACTTTGGGTGATAATGTAGGTTCCTCAGTTATGAAAAGTAGCAAGAGATGTTGTTAATAAAGGAGACTGTGTATTTGTGGGGGCAGGAAATATACAGGAAATCTCTACACCAGCCTTTCCATTTTTTGTGACTTTAAACTTGTTCCCCTCTCTTTTATCTGGGCCTATAAACTAATATGTAACTATCATAAATATTATTCTTTTTCATCACCTTGTTTTTAATTTGTATCTACAAGGTAAAAGTTTGCTTTTAGCAAAATAGATTTTTTTTAACTTCTGTCTAAACTTTACTGTTAAGCTTTTAAATTGTTTAATATTTTAATTTGAAGTTATTTAGTACTCAGTTTTCTCAGCTTTTCAGGGTGTGTGTGTGTGTGTGTGTGTGTGTGTGTGTGTCTGTCTGTCTGTCTGTCTGTCTGTCTGTCTGTCTGTCTGTCTGTCTGTCTATATGCTGCACTTACAAAGCAGGCATTTTACCACTTGAGCCACACTTCTGGCCTTTATGCCTTGGTTATTTTCAAGGGAGAGTCTCACTTTATTTGTTGACTAACTTGAGCTGTTATCCTCCTACTTATGCTTCCCCACATCAGGAGAGATGACAGACACACACCACTGTATCTAACTGTTGTACTAATTCTGTAGCTGACATAGTAAGTGTTTGCCACCCCCACTGCGCACACACTATTGGTTGAGATGGAGTTTTGAGAATTTTTATGCCGGGCCTAGCCTTGAACCACAATCCCCAGATCTCTGCCTCCAGGTAGCAAGGATTATAGGCTTTGAGCCACTGCAGCCACTTTTAAGATTCTTGAACCCTCATAGCTTTGTACTATTTACAGCAGAGCTCTCACAGAGGCCACCAGAGTCTGATGAAGAATAATCCTATGTTGTTGACATACTTTAGTAGCACAGGTTTTTGGAGATTTAATATGTTCTGTTTGTTCTCTGATTAAAAAAAAAACTAGTATCTTATTTCATTAATGCAATGACATAATGTCTTATTTTTAAAATATTAATGCTAGCTTTTTGTTTAAGTTTTTATATCATTATATAGTCTCTTCCAAGTTTCTCTGTTATTTGTCCTTCTTAAAGCTTTCCTTAAAATGTCTGGTAATTCTTAACTGTTCGTAATTTAGAGTAGATACTAAGAAATTAATTAAAATCTCATCACATGTTGTTGGGCGAATCACCAGGGACCTCAATTGTAGGGTGATCTAACTAGAATGGTCTATTACTCATCCTTTTGGGAGTACCAGAATGCAAATCCAAACCAAGTGGTTTTCCCTGTCCTAAACTCGTAGTAACAGATGACGCCAGTGCTTGTCCAAAGGCCAGTTAAAGCCTTTCATTCTCCTCTTAGAGCTGCTGTGTGTATCCATTCCCAACATGTATCTTCCAGGGTTGTTTATGGGAACTGTCCTCACAATACTAGAACCTGCTTTCCAGTGTTCATGTGGGAGATAGATCTGGAAATTTTGTTCCTAAGGACAGATCTCAACCAGTGACTGATGGTTTAAGTATACTCTGAGGTATGACCTACTTTTGTGTCCTGTGCCACCACCCTGAGGGATTTAGTTAGAATTACCTGCCCTCCATGGGATGTAGCTTGCTAGCTTCCTTCCTTCTTGTGTTATTTCCCCACAGGTTTTTCCAAGGAATAGTTTTGTCGACCTTAAGAAAAACTAGGGCACCAATTGATTAAGAAACAAAGAATTTATTTGGACTGATGTTAGTTACAACTCAGGAGACACAGACTTCAAGCAAACTGAAATGTGCTCTGAGATTTTACAAATTGCCAACAAGATTTAAAGGCAAAAACCTCAGCGGGAAGAGGAATTATATACTAGTTGTTGGCCAGGAATTGAGTGGAGACAAAGCAGCAGTTTTGTAAGAAAGAGATTGCATAATTTAAAGAATATGAACAAATCAGTTCTTAGAAAGGGAGGGAAGAAACAAGAATAAGGAAATTCTTGGGACAGGAAAAGAGTTACATAAAAGAACCCTGATGGCTTTCTGTAGGAGTATTCAAGAGTCTACTCTAATGGAAGTGGAAGCTCTAAGCCCATTTCATTGTAGATATAGCAAGTTGCACAGGTTTCAGAGTTTATTTGGAAGTAGCTGTGACTGAAGCCAAGTCCTTCATATTCTCTTAGCCTAGTATTTGTGATGCCTCCATCTACCTTTATCTTTGTGATTTTATTTTTTCCACACTTCGTAAGAAATCACTTTCACCCACATGTCTCATTTTCCAGTTTCTTCTAGGGGACCCAATTTAAGATAACTACTAATAGTTGTGCAGGAACCTTTGATGGTATAACATTTATATCAAACTCATACAGAAAATAAGATTTATCAAATTCTGGCACATAGTATTTAGAATGGTTAAAAGTAGTATAAACTTACCTTTGAAAAATTGAAGTATTTCTTCCAAGATAAATCTCTTTTTAAAAATCTGGTGCTTTGGCAAAAGTTTTTATTTCTGCTATGCTGGTTTAGGTTTTGTATGCTGAGTCAGTTTTGATAGTTACCTCCTGCCTTCTTACCCATGGTTTTCACATCCATAGATTCAGGCAATTGTGAATTTAAAATACTGGGAGACAAAACTACATACTTACTGAACATGTGATGATGATTTTGTCATCATTCCCTAAGCAATATGATATACCTATATAGCATTTACCTTGTATTGAATAATCTAGAGATAAAACATGGGACATCATGCATAGATTACATATACATACCAGAAGTAGTGTTTTCCTATACCAAAGGAACTTTCCATGGTAGTTAAACCTCAGACTTTTTGTTTTTGTTGTTATCGTGCTTTATAATTTTGAAATATCCTGCTAATATATTCCCCCCCTCCCTTTTTTTTCTCTTTCAGAAATACACTTTCAGGAAATGGCCTCTAAATCTTGGCTGAATTTTTTAACCTTCCTCTGTGGATCAGCAATAGGATTTTTTTTATGTTCTCAGTTATTTAGTATTTTGTTGGGAGAACAGGATGACACTCAGCCTAATATTCTTCATAATGATCCTCACGCTAGACATTCAGATGATATTGGACAGAATCATCTAGAAGGTCAAATGAACTTCAATGCAGATTCTAGCCAACATAAAGGTATGGTTTTGTGTTATTAAAGTGTTATAAGAGCTGGAAAGTGGTAGCTCATGCCTATAAACATAACTACTCAAGAGGCCGAGCTCAGGATCATGGCACAAAGCCAGCAGAAAAAACTGTGAGACTCTTACCTCCAGTTAACTACTGAGAAAGCCACAAGTGATGCTATGGCTCAAGTAGTAGAGTGCTTAGTCTTGAGCAAAAAAGGTCAGGGACAGTGCCCAGGCCCTGAGTTCAAGCCCTAGGACCAACACACACACACACACACACTACATCTATAAACAAAATCTACATTCCTGATATTAAAAGGCAATTTTTAGTTTCCCTTAGGAGAAGGAAGTTGTTTAAAGTCAGTTTATTTAGAAAGCTACTAATTTTAAATTTAGTTTTAAGTAAAATGGTAACTGTTTAAAAAGAAATGTACTCATTACCTTACTTTCGTAAGTGTAACCTCCCTGTTCATCACCTTTACAATAAATAAAAATAAAATATATAAATTTTTTTTTTTTTTTTTTTTTTTTTTTTGTCGGTCGTGGGGCTTGAACTCTGGGCCTGGGCACTGTCCCTCAGCTCTTCAGCTCAAGGCGAGCGCTCTACCACTTGAGCTACAGCGCCACTTCATATATAAATTTTTAATAAATGGTTCAAAGGGGCTGGGAAGGTGGCTCAGTGGTAGAGCGCTTGCCTTACATGCCTGAGGCCCTGGGTTCGATTCCTCAGCACCACATAAGCAAAAAGAGAAAAGCCGGAAGTGGCACTGTGGCTCAAGTGGTAGAGCGCTAGCCTTGAGCTGAAGAGCTGAGGGACAGCACCCAGGCCCAGAGTTCAAGCCCCACGACCGGACCCCCCAAAAAAAAAAATGGTTCAAAGACCATAAAATGAAAAACAGCATAATATTTGGAAAAGTTTTCTTTAGGTCCAGTTTTTTTTTTATGGCTTTGTTATATTATCCATGTTATTTTTTAAAATCTCTACTTCTCTCTCTATATAGTATATATACATATTCACATGTAAATGTTATACACAAACAAATCTCAAATTTGTATTTTTATTAGTAGGTAATATAACCTTTTTTCCTGTTGAGCATCATGAGAAACTAAGAAAATTTTTTAAAAAGTAATAATGTGTTATGATGACTTTATGTTCTCCTGATCTCTTAGGGTCATAGAAGTTGAGTCTTGTAGGTGCCCTAATTTGCTTTTCTCCGAGATTTTTGTCATTTAGGTTGATATTATCAACCTTGTAATTTTAATTTCCTTTCCGTGTTATGTAGCCTACTGGGAGAAGGCATAATGCCAACTCTGATTTATTTTTCTAAGGAGAATACATATAGCTTGAAAATAATCAGAATTCTAAGATGTTCTACATTCAGTTGTTTATCTAATCTTTCCAGTAGTAAATTATTTCTTACCTAACCTCTCTCATGTAGAGACTGGAAAGTGTTTTCAAAGCTGAGTAAGTTTTATCAACTATCAAGCAGATCCATACTACTACACATTTTTATGTTACGTGAACATTATGTAACAATAATTAAGCTCTGAGTAGTACCCTGTACTTACTACAGATCAGTTTGGTTGCTGTGTACTTGTGCTGCAGCATGGCTCCATGATGGATGATGAATTAGAGTCATACTTCCCAGTTATCAGGCTATGCTGGGCCTCATTGCAGGCACATATATTGGATCAATATTGGTTCTGCTCAGTGGCCCACAAGAAGTAGGTTATCGTAAAGTCTTTTATTGCCTCAGATTTAACATGTATATTGAATTCTTGTTTTTATTCCCATTCTCAAAACTTGTTCTCCCCCAGTATATTCCTTATTTTATATTGCAGTTACCATCACTTAAGTCAGAAAACTATGAAACTGTGATACATGGTTTCCTACACATTTGAATAAATTCCATTTGTCACTGAATTCTAATAATTCTATTTCTTTACCATTTTTTCAGATCTCCTTCTCTCAGTATATACAGTACATTCCCTTAATTCTGGCTTTTACTTACACATGTACTTGCACTTAACTTCCCTGTGTCTTGTCTTCTACTCATATGAAGAACTATTTTTTTTCTGTATCATCTCTTTCTTAGTGTCACTGTATCTTTCCCTTTTCTGTTTGATCGAGTCCTTATATCACTGTTCTATAGAATTTATCAGTTATACTTAATTTCCCTCAACACACTGAAGCCCTTGTACTTACTTCTATTATGGCATCTCCTACTATGTAGCAATTACTTGTTTGCCTGTGTGTGAAGTTCCTCTGTTAAACTGAATTCATCTGAGGCAGGAAATAAATCGTATTCATCTTTTCCTCTCTTGTTGTAGCACATAGCTGGTACACAGTAACTAGTAAATGAGCAATTTAAAAGGTGAAAATATCTATCAGATCCCAGCAGTGGGATCTGAAAGCTGTCTTATCCTAAGTTAGACAGATGGGGGGTTTTATCAATCCATCCACACTAACTGAAAATGGAGGGATTTTGTTGGCATTTTGTCCTTCTGGGTTGTGAATTCTTGTTATTTAGATTGTAATATTTTGATTTCCCACCCAAACTTCTATTCAGTCTCAGTTAACTGGTAAGTTATGATATTGTTAATTTTCTTAAGCACTGAAGCTTTAACTCAATATTTAACTTTAAGGGTATGCTTTCTTAGAAAATATCCTACAGTATTTGTACTCTCAAGTGTGATTTGCAGACTTTGGCTGGTCTGCCAGTGAAGTATTAAAGCCAGGGACCAGTGGCTCATGTCTGCAATACTAGCTACTTGAGAAGCTAAGATCTGGAGGGTTGCAGTTTGAAGCCAGACAAGGCAGAAAAAAATGCATGAGGTTCCATCTCCAGTTAACAAGCAAAAAAGTAGGTTAAGATGCATAGCTCAAGTGGTAAAGCACCAGCCACAAGCAAGCAAGTACAAGACCCGGAGTCCAATACCGACACCAAAATAAAAAGTATTAAAATTAAGTAATGTAGCCAGGAAGTTAATTTGGCCAAATACTTTTGTGTGAATCTAAAAATAAATACTTATAGACCGAAGTTTATATATTTTCCAGCTCATGTTTTTCTGATTCATTTTTATCATATTTGTAAAAGATAGATCCCTTACAATCAAAAAGATTGCTCTTTTAAAACCACAGATAGTTTGAAAGGCACTAGTCAGAATCATGTAATTGGGTTCTTCTTGCCCAATTGTCACTCATATTGTGGCATTTGCCTGATACCCTGTGAATTGTTTGTATCCAGATGCGAAGCTTACACCAGGATGCAAGTCAGTTTAAGTCCCTAACTTATTTCTTTTCTTTATTAAGTGGCTTTGTTTTGTTTAGTAGAAATCCTTCCTTGATGAAATAAGCATGCTGCTTTATACTCTGACTAGCTCCATATATCTTTGCAAACCTGTAGTTTATACAATTCTACAGTAGACTAACTTGGGAATTCCACCTTTGTGCATTGTCCTATTCTGTTTGTGGCTGCTGGATTTGTACTTGAAACTGAAATATATAATACTACCAGAAATAGCCTCGGGCTTTCATTAATCCCTCTATTTGAACTGGTTTAATCAGACAGCCTTCAAGGCCAGCACATATTACTTAAGAAATTCATAGAAGTTGATTCTAATGAATTTCAAAAATGAACTGCACTTTATCAGCATGTTTTTCCCCTGCCATTTAGAAACTCATTCAGAACAATGAGAAAATGCTGTGAATATTCTGCTAAAAAAAAAAAAGTTGGTGCTTTCTTTGTAACATAAAGCAGCAAGCAGAAACTTAAGTATTTAAAGTGCATATTAATTAATAGGAGATTTATTAATGCAGCAGGTCTGACTGAAATTTGCATTTCTAACAAACTTCCAGCGGATACTGATACTTTTAGTGAATCATTGTTGGACATAGATAACTTTAGCTATCTTCTGGATAAAATTGACATGAGACTAATAAATCAGAGTATCAGTTACATATTAGATTGGGTTTTGATTTATTTAATCTAAGTCACTAGTAAGTAAATGGGTAGAAGACAGTCCTTGAAATAAGTTTAAACAAATGTTTTCTTAATATAGTATTTTTGTTTTTTACATCTAAATATAACTTTTAAAAACATTTATTTGCTAGATGAAAACACAGACATCGCTGAAAACCTCTATCAAAAAGTTAAAATTCTTTGTTGGGTTATGACAGGCCCTCAAAATCTAGAGAAAAAGGCCAAACACGTCAAAGCCACATGGGCCCAGCGTTGTAACAAAGTGTTATTTATGAGTTCAGAAGAAAATAAAGACTTCCCTACTGTGGGATTAAAAACCAAAGAAGGCAGAGATCAGCTGTACTGGAAAACAATTAAAGCTTTTCAGTATGTTCATGACCATTATTTAGAAGATGCTGATTGGTTTATGAAAGCTGATGATGATACATATGTGATACTAGACAATTTAAGATGGCTTCTTTCAAAATATGACCCTGAGCGACCCATTTATTTTGGAAGAAGATTTAAGCCCTATGTGAAGCAAGGCTACATGAGTGGAGGAGCTGGATATGTACTGAGCAAAGAAGCCTTGAAGAGATTTGTTGATGCATTTAAAACAGAGAAATGTACACATAGTTCCTCAATTGAAGATTTAGCACTGGGAAAATGCATGGAAATTATAAACGTAGAAGCTGGAGATTCCAGAGATACCACTGGAAAAGAAACTTTTCATCCCTTTGTACCAGAACACCACTTAATAAAAGGTTTTTTACCCAGAACTTTTTGGTACTGGAATTACAACTATTATCCTGCTATAGAGGTAAGTTTAGAAATTTCATTACTGTATAAATATACTTGGGTCTGACTTTTATTAGGTTAATAAAGTAGCTAATGTGTCTGTGTTGCTTTAATGCAATAACTAGAACTCTCAGTCTTTATATTTTACATAGAGTGACAGAATGAGAACAGGTATCAGCAATAGGTCTTCAGTAGATACTGATAGTCATGTAACACTGGACACAAAAGGCATAGAGTAAGGAGTTAAGTTCCAATTACACAATAGACAGACTGACAAAGATTTTAGGTAATAATTAGTCTTCAGAATCCAAATAAAGTGATAGGGAGAAACTTGTAGTGGGGTAGGGTACTGTGATTTGGGTGCTTACAGAAGGCCTCTCTCATGGGTGACTTTGAGCAAAAACTGAAGCTAGAAAGCAAACTATGAAGATTTGGTTAAAGAGTTTTCTGATTTTCAGGAAGACAACATCAGAAAGATCTATGTCCCAATCCTATACTCTGTCTAATGATTGAATGACATTAGCTGGGCAAAATTTACATAATGTCTAAGCCTTTTGTTATTTATGTATTAGAAATATCTACCTGTGTCATTTAACCATAATTACAATGTAATATAGCTTAACACACGATAGATTTTTAATCTGTCTCTAGTTTTATACCTTAACATACATTTCTGTGACTATCCAAGGCACATAATTTGATAAATTATGTTTGTACATTTCAGAATAATATGATACCTTGTACTCACCAGTGTCTCCTTTAACCACTTTTTGAAGAAAGTTGAAATGTTACATATTTAGCAAGCTGCCCAAAGTTAAATACTAGTAACCAAAATTTAGATTCAAACCTAAGTCTGACTTGAGAACTTTTTCCTCTTCGCACTGTTTAGGTTGATAGATAAATTATTAGGTTGTAAGCAGATATTAGGCAAAGCTATATACCCATTGATTTGAATGCTCTAGGGGTTTCTTTCTGAGGCTGAGCCAACCAAGAAAATTATGCAGGAAACAAAAAAGTTAGACAAATAGAATCTCATTCTTTATATAAATGCCTTATTTGAAGAAGTCTCCAGAAGTGTATCTCCTAAAATACAGAGTATGTAGGAGAATACATTTCTGTTAGAAATACTTTGGCAGCTTAATACTTGGTTTTAAATCATTAGGAATTTTAGGTTTGTTCCACATGTCTAATAAAGCAGGTACTTACTCTGCTTTGTCAGCTTTAATGCTCCAATTCTCTTAAAGTTTGTGTGTCCTTTATCAGTATATGTATATTGAATGTTAATGTGCTTCTTGCTAACAGTGCCTTTTTCTGCTACTTTTTAGGGTCCTGGTTGCTGTTCTGATCTTGCAATTTCTTTTCACTATGTTGATTCCACAACTATGTATGAATTAGAATACCTCGTTTATCATCTTCGTCCATATGGTTATTTATATAGATATCAGCCTGCCTTACCTGAGAATATACTAAAGAAAATAAGTCAATTAAACAAGGATGAGGATCCAAAAGTAAAATTAGGAAACCGTTAAAAAAAAAAAAAAAAAAAAAGAATGAACCCAGGTAAAATGGTCTAGCATTGCACTGAAGAAGGACTTTTCTACATTTCTGACATAAAATCCTGAAATCCCAGTGAGGAATTCATTCTTCTAACTGAACATTCCACTTAGAAATCTTTCAAATGAGTGACTGCAAACTGAAGCTTTAAGTGAGCTGTGAAGTCTGTTAAAATGTATTTTGATACAATAATATATATATATATGTGAAAAACATGTTTTTAAAATGTTAACATAGAAAAACCAGAAGCGATTTTGTTGCCTGTTCCCAACCACGTGTATTATTGTCACTGAGAAACTAAAACAGCTAAATTTGCTATACCTGTACTGCATCATGGTAGTAACATCCAATGCTAAACAGACCTGCCTTAAAGAAATTTTAGAAGGAAATATTGTTGCTCAGTGTTATTTATAAACTCATTTGCAGTATAGTATAAATGAATCAGCCCAACACACAGTTACCTAATTAAAATTTTTCTGTGATTATTTATAATTGGCAGCATTTCTTCAAGGAGAAGGTAGAATAATAGCACATTAATAAAAATACATTTTGAAGTTCTCAGCCCTGACTATGTTATACACTTGGTTCTAATGAATCCTACCAAGTTCCTATGTCTCTTTTCACTGTTGACCACTCTTAAATACTATTCTCCAGTACTAGTATTTATTTGCTTAAAGCTATAATAGCATTCTGTAAACATGCATTTTCAAATATTTTGTTTTCAGCTTTACCCATTGTTAATTATGGGTACTTAATAAATAGTAAATTTAATGCTATTTGGGCATGCTTTTCTTCTATCAATGCCACTCTCAGGAATAACTAAGTGACATTATTATTTTAAACTCTATCCAACTACATAATTGTTATGCCTTTCATTTTCATTCTGTTGAAAAATGAGAACTTGCTTGTGCCTTTTATAACTTGTTTTAAAATTCAGTTTTAGGTTTGAGGTGGCTTTTATGCTGGCAAAATATTTCAAATGTAGGTTTTGACCAGAGTTGATTAAAACCATTAAAAAATGTTATTTTCCAAATGTTATTAAAATGTTACATTAAAAAGTAAATGCTTAATTTATGAATAATAACTTGGAATGTGATGCTAACTTACTATTTGAGGATATTGCTTTGCCCATGATAATTCTAACAAAGCAGACTACTATTCAAGTCTGCTGTCAAAACACATTTACAAATGTTTCATTCTAGTTTTAGTAATTTTCTGTTTAATGAATTTCTAGGTAGGGAAAAATTATTTAACTTTTGTTGTCTTCAGCATTACTGAGTGTCTAACAATATTTAACAGAATGTTTTACATTTTCCATAAGATTATTTCAAATGTAGCATATATTTGCATTTCTTATGATAATTTTATGTACTTGTCATACACTTGATTCATTGCTTAGATAAATAACTTAGATTTGTCGTGCCAAAACATGACGAAAGCATTGACCTCTTTGGATAGTATATTTTTGAGGATGTTCCTTTCAGTGGCTAATTATGGTTTCCTCTATCCTTACAGTGAAAACACATACCAATTTACCTATTAAATTTTTCTTTGTTGTTTTCATTGTGATATCATCTGCCATAATTTCAAAGTATCCATTCTTTTCTATGAGCAACTTTTTATTATGGTTTAGCATGAATTTATCTGTGTTCCATGTATGGTACTCTTCTCTTTTTTTTTTTCTTTCTTTTTTTTTTTGGTAAGTGGTGGGGCCTGAACTCTGGGCCTGAGTGCTGTCCCTTGGTTTTTCAGCTCAAGACTAGCATTCCACCACTTGAGACACAGCACCACTTCTGGCTTTTTCTGCTTATGTGGTGCTAAGGAATTGAACCCAGTCATACATGCAAGGCAAGCACTCTACCACTGAGCCACCTTCCCAGCCCATATGATATTCTTCTTAACTAGAAGTATCAATAGTTTATCCTAAATGTCCCTAAAAGTAACAGAACATTTGCTTAATAAGACATAAGCGTAGTGATCAATCTTGGACTCTAGAGTCAACAGCCTAGTTTTTTGTTTTTTGTTTTTGTTGTTGTTTTTTAATTTATTTTATTTTTTGTCGGTCGTGGGGCTTGAACTCTGGGCCTGGATGCTGTCCCTCAGCTCTTCAGCTCAAGGCTGGTGCTCTGCCACTTGAGCCACAGCTCCACTTCCGGTTTTCTAGTGGTTTATTGGAGATCCAGAGTCTCACAGACTTTCCTGCCTGGGCTGAACAGCCTACTTTTTAAATTCACTCCCTCACTATTTTGTAACCTGGAACAATTTACTTAATGTCTCTGTGCCTCAATTTCCCCATCTGTAAATTAAGGATAATAATACTGCCTACCTCACAGGACTTTTATGAGGATTAGATAAGCGACTATATGTAAGGCCTTTTGAACATTGGCCCAGTATAGGAAGCAAAGATTTATTATTCTAATACCTGGGAGTATAGGTATTTGATATAAATGAATGAAATGATCAAATTAGCTAATGAAGGAAAGTATTTTTTACATTTCTTACAATAGCTCATATTCATCTAGTGCCTGTTCTATACCAGGGACTATGCTTATTCTGGGTACATTATTTAATCCTCACAAATTAAGTATTATTCCCATAATATAAATGATGAAACTGAGGCTTAGAGAATTAAAGTAACTTTTCCATTGTAACAGAACTAGTAAGTAACATAACTAGAATTATACTCCAAGCCTGTGTATTCATGTGTATTATGTGAGCTTTGAAGTTAGTCATTTAGCTCTGTTTTCCTTTTTACACATATGACATATGGCATCTGATACTGTTAGCCAGTAGTAGGTTAATCAGCCAAACAGTCATAGTGAGTGTTAAATTGTGGTTCTCATATTCTTGCCTGGGGACATGTTTAAATGGAGGTCTTAAGATCTCAAGTCCAGAAGTTCTGATTTAGCATGGGTCCAGGAAGATACATTTTTACCAGACACAACAAGGTGTAGGAAACCTTTTTTTCTGTCAAGGGCCAGTTGGATATCGTAACATTTATTCTTAGGCCATACACATTTTATCAGTGCAAGCAGACAGGCTGGGGGAAGCCTGTGAAAAAACATGTGTCTCTCTTCATGTACAAAATGATTTTGTGGGCTTACTCTGGCTTATAGGCCTCAGCTTTCAAGTAGCGTAACCTGGGAACACGTTGGAAATGGAACTCTTCTTCAGCTCCCTACCCAGACCTATTGGATCAGAAACTCCAAGGCAGAGTATATTTAAACAAGCCCTGTGTTTGTGGTTTATTCATCTCAGTTCAAGATTTATTGACCAACTACCTATATGGTTCTGGTGCAGATTACTATCCCATGATGAAAGAGGCAAATTTAAAGCCTTAACACATGTTAAAATAGTCTAGGATCATACTAAATTCAGTTGAAGGTAATTTAAATTGTCAGTGGTTCATTTATTTTTGCAAATATTCTTCAGCTCTTCCAGAGTGGCTAATACCTGTAAAATCTGTAATTCTCCAAAATTTTACATCTGGCAAGAACAGCTTATTACTTATTTATAAGTTCACTCATTAAAAACATACGTAAGTCTCATCCAAAATGTCAAATTTTATAAATAGCAAAATGCTGTTTTGAAGTATGGCAGAATATGTTTTGCTAATCATACTATCAATTCACATCTACACTTTGAAGCATCATTTGTCCTATATGATCTAAGGAAGCAAAAAAATTCTAGTATTTCATAGAGCACATTAAGAAAGACTTCATAGTAATAATCTTTTAATAATAATCTTTTAGATTAAGATATTTGTCATTTGGATAAATGATTTCAATGTGATCCTAAAGCATAAGCCTTAATGTCTTTTGTTCTCTAATAACATTATACTTACATGTTCTAATGGGAAGTTCATAAATACAAAGCTGATTTTTGTCTCAGTTTGATGATTTGCTTTCAATACCTTACATTTCAGACATTTTGTTACTCTTAACTTTAACTAGTAAAATTAGAAATTTTAAACTACTAAAATTAGTTATATCATGTTTTTAACATAGTAATTGGACTTGAGCTTTACATTTGCTCACATGCTGTTTTCATAATTGATTTTTGAGTGTTCATTTCACTTCCTTGAGCCTACCAAATTGTATTATCATATTAGGTCCTATTGTCTTGAAACACTCCCTCACTTGATTAAATAATCTGCTCATAGCTAAGACATTATTCATTTAAATTTTCAGATTATTAGATCCTTATTCTGTCTTTAGCAATGTCTGTTGCTTTGTACTTACTGCTTTTCTTTATTTCTTTACAACTAACATGCTTTCTAGCTACTCTCAACGCTGCCTTTGTAAGATTAATTTGACTGTTTTTAGTTATTAGAATTTGTATCACTTTATGACAGTTTTATATTACTAAATTTAGGTTTCCCTAGGAGATTAAAAGTCTTTAGAATAATGTCTGCTAAGGATTCTTTCTCTACTTATGAAACTGCAATTTTCAACTAATATATGTCCATAGTTACTAAATGAAATAAAGTCATTTGGGTCCATCCTCACTACTCACCTTCCTCTTGAAAACAAAGCCCAAACTCATTTGGCTTTATTTCTCCACTTGTATATTAGACCTGACAGAAACATGTACAAGAAATCTTGAGAGACAACCTGTGGTATTTTTGTGATCAGTATAACCTCTTGATTTAAAAATGACTTGTGTTTATATAATCAGAGTTGAAATGGAAATTATAGCACAGATGAATTAAGAGCGTATCCAAATGCTCTTTAGAGAAAGCAACTCTAAAGCTAGTTTTAGAGTTGAATTGTGTTCTGTTTCAATTCTCTTACCTCTTGTTTTCAGATTATAAATTTGAATCGTTTTGCAGGACCCTACAAATTAATAATCTACAGGAAGTATATTATTAGAGGGAAACTAATCTTACTGCTAAGCAGTGTGTTGTACTATACAGTGAATGTTTGTGTTTTGGAATTTAAAAATTATTTAAATAGTGTCGTGAATGATTTTTAAATGTCTGGTGAGTTGCTTATTTTAAGTGATCACCATTGAAGTTATAGAAAAATATTTCTAAATGTTTTTTTTAAAGTGCCTTTTAAAAGTTTTTAAATGATGGATTTAAACTGCATAAAATAAATTACTGTGTTCAAAATTGTTTCATCTCATTCTTTTTAAATGATGTAAAAATTGTGAAATAAATATTTTCTGGGTTGTGTGTGGGCTTTTTTCATGAAAGGTTTTCAGTTTGAATTAGTTTAGATTATTTTCTGCAATATATTATTTAACACAATAAAATGCCCTACATCTGACTTAGAATAATATACTTAAAAAAAATTAGAACACCTCATTATATAGTTCAGGTGAGAAGGAAAGCAGTGAAAGATGTGGTTAGGACATGGAGAACAGGAACATTCCATTGTGTATATAAACCACGTTTTCTTGATCCATTCATCTGTTGAGGGGCATCTGGGTTGGTTCCATGTCTTAGCTATGATAAATAATGCTGCAGTGAACATAGTTGTGCTGGTAGCTTTAGTGTGGCCTTTTTTTGTGATTGAGTAAATGCCCAAAAGTGAGATTGCTGGGTCATAGGGGAGCTCTATGTATAGTCTTTTGAGGAACCTCCATACTGTGTTTCCACAGTGGTTGAAAAAGTTTAAACTCCCACCGACAGTATAGTAGTGTTCCCTTTCAGCCACATCCCCTCCAGCATCTGTTGTTATTAGATTTCTTGATTACATCAGAAAGAATGACACTGCCCCATTTGTAAGTAAATGGAAGGACTTGGGGAAACAATGCTGACAAGCCAAACCCAAGGAAACAGGTCCCATGGGACAGTTTCCCTTATTTATAATTAGTATACATCTAGGATAATCAGCAGATGAACAATAGCTCAGTAGCTATGTACATATGATTATGTAAGATGATGCTAAGGGAAATGAACTCCCAAGACATGGACATAAGCGCTTTTCCTTTGTTATTTTTAATGTCCTATGTGATTTATTTTTTCCCCCTATTGTTTATCACCTGTTGTCACTGTATTTGATTTTGGTACCCTGGGTGTTGTATATATGTTTATCAGCATTAGGGAAGGGAAAGGAAATTTTTTAAATGATGAGACAAAGGGGGAACCAATGCAACAGTGATACAAGAAAATATGTTGGAAATGACCTGTACAACTTGGGGTAGGGGGCATTTGGGACAGGGAAAGTAGGAGAAAAATGAGAGAGGGTAACCAGTTAGACAAGAAAGGTACTCAGATAACTTTAACCCCTCAGTACATCACCTTGACTATAAAGTTTTTTTTTTATGTGTCCCACCCATTTTTTATTATTTTTTATTGTGAAAATACTGTATATAAAGTTTTTTTTAAAGTATTTGATTGCTTATCATGAATGCATTATTGTTACATGCCTTAAAAGGAGCCATTTAACTGTTTTATGTCTCGTTTTCTACCTTTAAAAGAAAATATTTTTGCTACCAAAAGAAAAAAAAAAAGGTCTGTAAGGAGCCAGGTATTTTTATATAGTGTTAGGAGATTGATTCCTGATGTTTAAATTGACGGGTAGTGGCAGGATTTTTGTGTGTGCCAATCCTGCACT